CCAGTTTGTAGTAAAGCTAAGATTCCCTGTTATGGCAACTCCTAACCTATATTTTCTTTACTATCTCTGCTGTAACCCTACAATGCTTTCATCAGTAAGGCACCAGATAAAATTGCCCATGACTGCATTATAGTAAGCTCTGAAAACCCTAAGCATTCGTCTTAAGACTGCATAAATGCTTGATCTGATTTCTAAGTAATATCCATTAAACTCTGATGTGCCAGGTCTGGCCCCAGAGGTAAGCCCTAAGCCTTCATTTATTTTACTTTCCAAATCTAAGAAACTGCCTAGAGCAATACAACTATTTTTCTACCAGAAACGAAGACTTCAAATATAATAGCACAACTATGAGTATAAAAACCTTTAAGGGTCATAATGGAAAAAAACACAACAACAACAACAGCCAGCTGTTTTCTTTTACTCTTTTAGCAAAAAGAACAAAAGTACATAGGAAAACACGCACAGTTTCAATGCTGGCCACCAGGTAACATACTTCCCTGATGCCCAATACTGTTATGTTTTATGAAGGTTTTATTTGTTTGTATTAAATCCAATTGCTCTGAATATAGCATTTTCTCCAACACTATGTGAACTAAAATCATGTACTGACACACTGCAGGATACTTTTTGTTCTATGAAAAGTCTTAAATACCAATTCCCTGGTCTCTCTCAACATATAAAGACTACTCAGCCATAATATAAAACCAACAGTCAGTCTCTGTTGTGAAACCCAAAAGTAAAATAAGGACAGGAAGACAAGTAACTTTAAACTACAACTACACAAATATCAGCTACCAAACATGAAAATAACACAAGTCAAAATCTACATTATACCAAGTGACTTGTTTTACTTATGAGTGTACGTTCTGTTCTGTTCTTTCAGTTTCTAATTACCTTGGGATTTTCAAACACCAGAGTAAAAATAGTTGACATATTTCTCAAGCCAAGGGTGTTCGCATATAAAATTACTTAGTACTTCTTTTACCCTTGAAGAAAACTGTTATTCTAATCTAATGCTCTCTTCAGATTGCAAAATGCCAAAAAGAATAGAACATTCTAATTAACCTGAAGAATCTCTGCAAAAGCCAAAAATGAACGGAAGAAGACATGGCAGATGTAATTCTACCTAGAGCATGTAATCCCTGACTTGAGGGACAGAATAGGAACACTGGATGGCCACACAGAAAGATATTCTAAATAAAAGTAGTCTCAAGAAATATATTCTATAACAATTTCATGGTCCTATTAAGTTAAAAATATTTGCTATCCAAAATCTTATGTATTTTATTTCAATTCAGGTAACTTCACTTTACAAAGAAGAAAAATATATATATATATAGATTCTAGATTACTAAACTGGACAATCATGTTTTCTTTTCACAAGCAATTACCTCCAATTAGCTTACCGAAATAACAATACTTATTTTCTTCATAATGTTCAGAGAAACAATTGTTACTAAGCACTCACAAAAAGTTATATATTTACTGTTGGACTTTAGAAACAGCAATCATATAAAACATCATCCAGCATCAAATTATTTTGTGGGGAAAGAAAAGGTCAAAGAATGAAAGGATATGTGATCAGAAAGGGAGTCACTGATGAACAAGGTGATATAGGATAAATGAGAAATTTATTCACTAATTCTGACTCTCAATTTAATTCTTTCTGACCAAAGTAAACTGCCATAACTGAAAAAACCATTTGTGTCTCCAATTCACAACAAACCAAAAATAATCTAGGACATAGATGTTTTCCCTTTAAAAACGTATTCTCTGTAAACCACTCAATGTTTTCACGGCACTGCTTCCTCTATCCAAGTCTCTATGTGCTGTTTTGTCTTACAAGCATCTCCTCTATGAATCTCTACTTGACTTTAGATCTGAAGAGATCATTTTCAATACAGACTTCAGCCAGTGACTGTCAAATGAGAAACAGTATCACCTCCACGGTTACGTGAAAACATATGAAGGTAGTGTTGTTTTGTTTTGTTTTGTTTTTTAATTGTCACTGGGGGAATTCTACTGGCATTCAGAGCCCTAAGGTTGCCAAATGAACTGCAATTACAGGGAAGTTTTTCATAACTGGAGATCCCACTCAAAATGCCAATACCTATTCCAGAGTGAAACAGACCAAACCAGCCGGTACATCTATGGACACAGAAGAGCAAACTCTTCCTAATGTGCTCTATGCCATTAATACTGGCACAGCAGCTCCGGCTCAGCAGCTGTCACTTCAACACCACGCCCCTCCCCCTCCAGTTCTCCAAGGTCACTCATTCCTGCTACTGCCTCAACCAAAGTTACATTATTTCCTTATTTAATTCTCTGAGGTGTAATGAAAAAATTCTAGCTGGTATTTAGAAAGAGGAATGCCAGGGGCACCTGGGTGGCTCAGTCGGTTGAGTGTCCGGCTTCGGCTCAGGTCATGATCTCGCAGTTTGTGGGTTCGAGCCCCCGCGTCAAGCTCTGTGCTGACAGCTAGCTCAGAGCCTGGAGCCTGCTTCACATTCTGTGTCTCCCTCTCTCTCTGATCCTCCCCTGCTCACGCTCTGTCTCTCTCTGTCTCAAAAAAAGTATAAAAAAAAGGGGGGGAGGGAATGCCAGAGCAAAAAGCACCCAGATACCCAAAGTTTTTGTATCCAAAAGCAACGCTCTGTATTTATGCTGCATCGCAAGAATCTATCTTTAAGAATTAGTGTCAGAAAGTCATTATTTTCCTTGTTGATGAATAATAAGAATATAGACATACGTGGTTCAACTTTGCTTAATGGTTAAAACATGCCATAATTTTACAAGTATCATCCTATAGCTAAATAAAGGACAAATCTGCCAATACTTTTTTGAGTGAGTCCTATTACAAATGAAAAATGATTATACAACTGAAACCAACCTCTTATCACAAGATTCCTTAAAGTTTTCCTTGATTTTTGAAATAGAAGAAAGACAAAGCGTATCATAAGACTTTAGCTCAGAAGAAAGTTCAAAAGACAAATTTTCCTTAAAAAAGACCTATTGTTTTAAAAAGCCTTATTTATAAAGGTCCTTATTTAAGAACCATCATTATTGAATAGAAATATTTAGCCTTATGGGGCGCCTGGGTGGCTTAGTCAGTTAAGCGTCCAACTTTCGCTTAGGTCATGATCTCGCGGTTAGTGGGTTCGAGCCCCGCGTCGGGCTCTGTGTTGACTGCCACCTCAGAGCCTGGAGCCTGTTTCAGAGTCTGTGACTCCCTCTCTCTCTGACCCTCCCCTGCTCACGCTGTCTCTCTCTCTCTCTCTCTCCTAGAAATAAATAAAAATATTAAAAAAAAAAAAAAGAAAGAAAGAAATATTTAGCCTTATACAAAGGAGCTCAAAAATGTTTTTACTTAATCAACAGTTTCTTTTTACTCTACTTCTTGAACAGAGTTCTCCTGGGTTTTTCTGTTAGAAGTATCTCTCTGGCTTGATCCCTGACTAAAATTCAAGCCTGGCCTCTATGGTCCTTGACTAAAAATTTTTTTAAATTTATCATCAATCTTTTTACCTAAGAGATTATCTTTTTTTAAATTACTAGTAATCTTACCCCATATATTCTTGGTATGTGCTAAACACTGCTAATCAGTTTACTTGTATTATTTTATTTATTCTTCATAATGGTCCTAAGATGGGTATTAATACTGTGCCCCTTTTACAAATGAGAAAACTGAGGCTGAGAACAGTGAATAACCTACCCCAAACCACTCAGTTAATAAAGAAGAGTCAAACCTAGGTCTAGGTGACACCAAATTCCAAGCTCTTCAAGTACTTTAACAATACTGTCTGTTGATACAAAGAACTAGCCGAGTTTTATTTCTTCATCTAATCCAAAGAACTGCCATCCACTTCATACAACCACCTCTGAGTTCACCTGCAAAGTGTCTTTAGCATCTCAGAATTTGCTTGGCTTTTATATCCTCTAACTTGGAAAGACTCTTGTTTTGAGAAATAGAGCCTTGCATTTAGTCACTGGTAGACAATGAAATCCTTCAATTAAAATGCCCACTTACTCAGTAGTAAGAATTTTTAACTATGATAACACAGGTAGACACTGGTAACATTTCTCCTGTTTTACCAAACCATACTATATTGCATTAAGCTTACTTTGTGACTGCTTACTTGTGTCACATGCCTTAGGAATCTTATCTCTAATGTAGAGGGTATTTATTCCCATTTTACGTAAGAGGGAACTGAGGCTCAGAAAAAGATGTTTAATCCAGCTGGTTATGTGATAATATGGTGGTAACCAGAACCCAGATCTGTACAATTCTAAAGCCTAGGCCCTTTCTATTAGCAGAAGAAAATGTTTCAGAACACTCTGTAAAAAACTATTTGAAAATAGAGGGGAAAACCCTGCCAAAGTCTTTTTCTCCGAAACCACCTCCTCTAGTATATTCCTGCTAAATAAATTAGTGTCAGCATATACATTTTTGTATTTTAATTTACACAATCACTTCATTTAAGAGAACCAACAGGCTAAAATTAATTCTCTGCAGCAAATGAATATATATTATTGTTAATTGGATATTAGATTTCAGTTAGCAACTGAGGGTAAGTGGTTTTAGAAATACTAATGTTATTTTATACACATCAATACAAGTTACATCAGAATGTTAACAGAAAACCCTTAGAATGTTGCCTGTTCCACTCAGTTAAATGTAAACAGTACAGATACCCACAGAATCTGGAAGGGCTTAATTTATTGAAAAAATTTCAGGGTTCTCTAAACTCAGAGCAATTATTTTGGGGGAAAAGCTCTATTATTATTATTTTTATATTGTGCCATAAGCAGAAGGGAAAGGGTCTGTTAAGCACCAAGTGCTGTGTGGTTAGTGGAGAATGAGAAGAAGGGGACCCCGTGAGGCTGCAGCTCCTGGAGAGAGGAGCAGAGTGGCCTGGGAACGGCAGCATTCTCAGAGTCAGCAGCTACTGGTGCCTCCGCCTATTATTATGGGTGAGAGTGAAGGGGCAAGGGTACAGTACCTGATGATGGGCAGGTCGAGGCCCCGCTGCAAACTGAGAAAAGGAGGGAAAACAAACACAAAAGGAAAGGCACAAAGAGTCAGAAACACCACAACAAAAACCAAAATGTCACACAGTATGCCAAAAGAAAAAAACCCACAAGAAGAAAGGAAAAAAAAAAAAGAACATAAACGGTCAAAGCTTTGCTGCAGGACAGTGACAGACAGGTACTAGGATTCAACAAGTTAACACCACTACCAGGTATAGTTTGCCATTTATCAGCTGGGAGATAAACAACTAAGCTGTTAGGCACGTAAGGGTATCTTTCTGATAGGAATATTGAAAGAAAGAAAGAAAGAAAAGAAAGAAAACAAAGAAAAGAAAAGAAAAGATAAGAAAAGAAAAGAAACCCTAAAATATAGCAAAAGAAAGTCTGAAATACTAAGTGGTTATATAAAGACAAACATGAAAAAGTCAAGTATGCTTATGCAATTGATAAAGCTGGAGGAAATGAGAAAAGGTTTTATATTACAAGAAATAGCCAGGAGGCAATTAAAATGTCCAATAGGAAATAAAGAATGTTAAAGGACTGATTTCAAATTTATTTAAGTTTAATGGAGTATCTCATACATGAAATGGAAATTTCAGTATCTTCCTTTATTTCTTAAAGAATAACATTTCATTTATATATTTATAAATATATAAGCATATTTATAATATATAAATATATTTAAATATATAAACATATATATTTAAATACAATTAACTAGTAAAGTTTAATATCAAGCATACCAAAGCAAACAGCTGGTAAAGAACATCACTCTCCAACATGATTAATCAAAGTGGTACTATTATCAGCTCAAGAAGAAAAAAGAGTGAAAGAAGTCAAATCTCTCAATCACTGTTTATACACAGCAGCACAACACTGTACAAATCCATCTACTGCTATCTGACATTGGGAATAAAAACAAAATCAGAAAATAACACCTGAGTTAAAGAGAGTGCTTGAAAGCAGGTAATACATATTCCAACTCTTAATTTCCCTAACTTAGAATCAAAGAAAAAGGTCTTCCACCCATAAAATTTTAAATACTAAACCTCTAAGATCAAATAATTCTTCATCAGAGCATTAACTTGCCTTCCAGTGTGATTTTACTAACAGGGACAGAAAAAACTTCTCGGGACATAGTGTCTGAACTGGCTACTAACACATTAACTATCGAAATATTAACCACCCTCTTTAGTAGTGAAAAGAAAATATTTACAAAGTGGTTCTGAAAGCAAACCACACAGGGCTGTAATTTAATACACTTAAAGAACTAAAACATACGTCTTTCATTATTTTATTTCCTAGACTAGAGCCATCCTTTGTCAATTCATCACTATAGGTGAATCAGATTGAAGATTAACTAGGAAACAATCCCTCAGACTTGGAATTTAAGTTACATGCAAAAGATCTGGAATTATTTCCTCAACTGCCATTATTTCATTTAAACAATTTTCAACGAACTACAGTGGAGTACATGCCACAGTGTAGGAGATGGATGAAGACTGCTCTACCAAGAATTCACCCTAGAAGCTAAAACATCATCTGTCTTTCAAGTAATGAAATGTGTTTTAAACACGTTGTGAAGTTATTCGGCATAACTGAATGAGTTCTTGACAAACTACATGATTAGACTGTGTTAGGTCAGCCATTATATTTGTGAACTATTGTAAAATAGTTTCTCCAAATGATGACAAAGGTAGCTATACTTCTTGCAGAACATTTTCTCTTCACAGAAACTGAGGTCTTATATTTTCAGTTTTCCAATTATGAGAAGAAAACAGATCATACCTCTACTATGGACATCAAGTTTCAAGAATAGGCAATACCGCCCATGTGGTATGAAAGTAGGGGGTGGAAGTGAGGTGTTTCTTCATGACACTTTCGAAGAAAAATGGGAGAGAAGGGCCATGTTAAAAAATTAACCTGAGTACAACAGTACCTGTCTTATCACTGTTCCACAGAAAGGTCCCATTTCTAAGGCTCTAAAATAAAAGTTGCAACTTCATGTATTTGGAAGGTTCCAGTCAAAAGAGAACTTTCTATGAACAAGAGGAGTACCTTATAAAATTACACATGTATTTCAAAAAAACAAAAAACAAAATAAAACAAGAACAACAACAAAAAAAACAACCAACACAAGTTAGTGGGAAAGTACCCTAGTCTATTTTGCACTAGTCACCATTGGCTATTGAGTTTTTCATTTGGAATGACAATAGTCTTAGTCCTGTGGGTAACTAACTGTAAGCAACAGAACAAACTGTAGTCGCTGCTGGCTCATATTAAAAATAGAAATATTCATTTCATTTTTTTTTTTAAGAGGGGTCTTTAAGATGGTGAGGACTGTAGATATTAAGGAAAGCAGCCTTCTATGAACTTGGATCCAATGTTAATGCCACCCACCCACCCACCCACTCACTCAACTCACTCTTCTGTGCACAGTTGGCAACAGGGCATGGCCAACATAATACTGATGTATCTTTGGCACTTAGCGCTACAAAACAGAAAAATAACCAGTGGATACAGGTTACTGAAAAAACCAAACTGTTACCCCTCTTCCAATTAGGCATTTAATAGCTTCATTATTTTAGAGGCTATTTAAAAATAAACTCTTGTTTAAAGAGTTCCAGTACAACCAGAAAATGGAACAGATAGGGAGCTAATCAGTACTTTTTTGCTTTTAAACAAGATTTACAATAATATGAATTTAACTAAGATACCATGCATTGAATAGAAATACGGACAAAAAGATAACCTCAAAGAGGGCAGGGGGCCACTTGAAGCCACTTGGATTGCAAAGGCAGCTGTCCAGGGAAGAACAGAATAGCCTAAACTGTGCAATTGCCAATGGCCCATTAATGCAGAAATAGAATGGAGTAAGCTTTAGCTGCTCTACAAAGCATTGGAAGGGTCCCTTCCTTAGTGCAACAGCTTACCTCTCCTCACCAGTTGGGATAGCTGTGGGATGGATGAGACTAGACTATGGCAACTTGGGATGTAAAAAGAAGATGCAATCCTGCCAAATTTCATATCCCAACTTCCCCTCCCAGCACCAACACAAATGAAATAAAGAAAACTGGACCCAAAACAACAAGCAAGAGTAGTCTTGGGTTTGCTAGTCTTGCACTTGTTTTGGGATATGTAATGGAATGTTATGTGTGTGGTTTTTAGTAATGGGGGTGGTAATGGTCACTAGCAGAGCAGATGGCAAAAATTGCATAGAGGATAGTATCTGAAGAGTTTATGACCACAGAAAAATGGCTGACAACTACAGACAATTTCCTCTTTGATATTCAATTATAAAATGGAAAGAGGGAAAAAGAAGCCTTGAAATTTATCTTTTAAAATCAAATTTATCTGAAAGGGATATCCCTCTTTGAGTTTAAAATAAAGAAAACTCTAAACCCCAAATTACTCCTGTCTAATTCCCAATCAAGAAGACCCACCCAATTTGTTATTCTTTTCCCCACTATGCCTGGCAGAAACTGCCATGCTAGGTTAGACTTTCAGAGAAGAAGCAATTAAAGCATTTCTGTTCATCAGCCAATAAATGGATGTGGTCAAAAATAATGAGTGCCAGAGGCACCACTGCCTGCAAGAAGTACAGTTTGTTATATTGCTTACAATGCAGTATTTTATCCAGCCTCTTCCAGCCAAGGACCTGTAAACGGGAGTCTGTTCCAAAACCTTCCTCCTCTTCCAGTTGTCTGTGCAATGTATTGGCACTGTTCTGCTGGGCTGTCAAAAAAACTGGTTTAGAGATGCAGCTCTTCAGTCAGGTTTTGCGCCAGTTCTAACCATGTAAATTTCTTTTCTTTCAATAATTATAAATGGGGGTGGAGGTGAATAGGGCCACAGAATTCTTTGCAATAAGAGCTTACCATCATGTTCCGTGTTTAATGACTAGAAGCAGGGCCTATCTAAATTAATCTGGTGAGATATCAGGCCCACTCCAAGTAGTAAAGTATGCACATCCCCAAACCACTCTCAGAACACAACTTGCATCAGACATCTTGTTGATCATTTCAGCAAAAAAAAGAGACAAGCAAACAGGCAACTAGGACCAAAGTCCCACCTCTTTAGAATGGTTCTTATACCCTCTGGGGAGAACCAGGATCTAAGAACAGGTATTGGAGAAGAGGGCAACAGGGAAAAGGAAGACAGAAAGAGGGTAAGAAAGAGATTACATTTTGGTGCAGTCTATGATCTCTAGTTCATTGAACAATCTTTCATACATTTCAACATTTCTCAGTTCATGCATAAAACCAAATGAATAGGAGCTAATGCAATGAAATACCCCAATACTACAGGCAAAAAAAGCAGGGGGTGGGGAACCAAAAGAAGATACCTGTATTCTGAGAAAAACACAGAGCTGAGATACAAGTAGGGATGTGAGATACAATGTGAGATGTTACAGAAGCACCTTCTGGCAAAACCTAATCATGCAGGCGACATTCTAAGGAATGGACAGCTGAAGCCACTATATACTTTTGTGAAACAGAAGGATGAACGTTGAATAAATTCTCAGTCTTTGCAATATTTATTGCAATCCATGTAAAGGATGAGCAAAGAGGAGGATAGCATTTAATTTGTATGACAATTTATTTACCATCTGAAAAAAGAAATACACCATTGGTGTATGTCATGCATATGTCCAAACTGCCAATGGTTAGAACTGACCTAGTGACACTGATTCAGAACTCTTACTTCCCAAACCACTGGAATTTGAGTCTAATTAATGAAATTTAATTTACTTTTAAAATCACTGTGCTTTACTCTCTTCCTGAATTTAACAGTACAACAAATTAAGAGCTGAAATGAAGTGAACTTGAATGCAACCATTTTTAAATCATGCCACAGGAAAGTAAAAGAAGATAAAAAGCTCCATTTCTCCTTTTTCTTAATAAATTTAAACTATTCCTATATTAATGGTCTAAAAATGCAATGCTAACCAATATAGTAATATGTTGATGATGATGATGATGATGATGATTAATAAAAATAAACTGGCTTTGGAACAAATATCCAAAAATGAGAAAAAAAAATTAGCCAAAGGAACCCAAGCTATTAAAAACACAAACTTAGATGGAAAATATTATTTAGAAGAAGCTTCTGCTTACTTACCGGAGAACGGGTCTGAGGTTGTGAATTCATTGTCTGAGGGGCTTGAGGGTATACCAATGTGGTTGGACCTGCATTCTGTCCAGAGGGATATGGGGTCTGTCAAAAAAATGGGAGGAACAATATCTTATTTTGAATATATATGGCATGGTAATTCAAAGTATTAAAAAGAAATGCAAAGATGTATTCATTAGTGTGGCTTCTATCTTCACCACAATACCCAGCAATTCAGGATCAGAGCAGCACTAGGAGAGGTTCCCTAAAACCCGATATGGAGACGTCTGCAACCCAGTGACTAGGTACAATTATTTGATAACTGAAGTACAAAGAGCACTCATCTCTTTCTATTTCTTATTTCTATTTCTTAAACAGACAAATCATCTATTTCTTAAACAGACAAATCATGCCACAAACAAAATCAAACATGGCTGAGAGAACTTGCTACTGCTGTGGTGAGCTTTCCAAAGTACCTACAAGCAAAGAAAACCATTGAGGAAGACATCCCAGAATAAATTAGCAGTTCACTAGGTTAACTGCTGTGTTATTGTTGTTCTCTTCCACTGCTTACACCTTAATCCTTTTATATGACCTTTTTTTAATATACTTAAGAACCTACAGAGCACTGGAAACAAGTAGGACCTAAGTGGTAATATTTACTAACTTACCACAAGTTTTCTGAAATAAGAATATAAGCTTTTCATTATAAACCCACATTAAGTGCTACAGACTAATATTCTATGTGCTACTGACTTCAGGGGTGGAAAAAAAAACATGTTAACATGTTTAATATGAAGTACTAGCAAAAGCAATGGACACAGGATCTGAATTCAAATACTAACAACTGCCACTTACTTGGGCAAGTAATTTACCTTTCCCATGAATGTAAAAAGGAATAACACACTTACCTCACAAGGAAGTTTCTAAGATTAAATAAGGTAATGTCAATTTTACTACACAATCACCTTTTATTACCATGGTGTCTATTTTACACATGAGGAAATCAAGGGTCAGAAAATTCTAGTGCTGGGGCATCTGCGTGGCTAGGTTGGTTAAGCATCTAACTCTTGATTTCAGCTCAGGTCATGATCCCAAGGTCATGGGATCAAGCCCCATATCGCTCTGTACTGACAGCATGGAGCCTGCTTAGGATTCTCTCTCTCTCTCTCTCTCTCTCTCTCTCCCCCCCTTCCCCTCTTCATATGCACTCTCTCTCAAAATATGAGTAATAAACTTAAAAAAAAAAAAAGAAAAGAAAATTCAAGTGTCTTACCCAAGGTAAGTAAGTAAATCCCTCTAGCAAGTATTCTAACTTTGCTTTAAAGGAGAATTCTACAATTTTTGGCATCTGCTGACCTTTTAGTAAAAGTTCAACTGGGTTTAACAATTTTAAGCAAATGTCTGAGGGGCCCCTCCCTGGCTGGCTGTATCAGTGGAGCATGTGACTCTTACTAATCTGAGTCATGAGCCCAAGCCCTACATCGGGAGGTAGAGATCATATAAAAAAAATAATAATAATAAAATCTTTAAAACTTTAAAAATCTTTAAAAAGGTCATCATAACTTTCAAATAATTAAGAAGCAACAAAGTCAATGAAAAAAAACCCCAATTTCATACTGGACGTAGAAGATAATTTGCAATCTTCCAATACAGTAACCTATTATACCCATCTCCACTGACATTAAGGTTCCACATCAGGTTAACTTCCCTTTTCACTATAGTTCTACCTAATCTGGCCACAAATTGGAAATTATGACAGCAAGTATCTCATATCTACCAAATAGGTGATAATTGCATCAGATATGACCCAAGAATTATCCATGGTTTCTCATCAAAGATTATTTTTAGCACCCTTTCAAACACTAAGTTTATATATGTACATTTCATACACAAATTCTGGAAGGCTGAAAGCTGACTTAACGTAAAGTTAAAGTTAACTTTCTAATTCAAGTTGGCTGTTTCAAGTTAAGAGTGTTGAATGGATTTCTTATCAACTCTAGCTGCACTCAAGTATGAAAACTATTTCATAAAGTTCAATTTCAACATTTGGATATAGTTGTAAAATTCAGCATCAATTTCATTCTTTATCAAATTAAAGAAAGTGATCAAGTGTTAAGAAATCCATATTCTCAGTGGTAAGGCTTGTTGGTTTTAGGAAGTCTTGACACATTATTCTCAACAGTTGGGTTGAAGCATAAGCTTCTATCAAGATTCTAAATACAACATTGAGATGTACAACTTCTAAAAACATAAAGAAATGTTCTCTCTTTCTATACTTCAAAAAATTAGGTGAGAATTTCGCCCTCTCACAGCTAGAGTACCAAAGAAAGGAAGAACAGCACATTTTTCTTTCCACAGAAGATGCTGAGAATATTCAGAATGGCCATATTTGACCTTATTCAAAATTTTCACAAATATCAACATTGGAGCCATCTAAGACAACACCTTACAATTAACTGAAAAAGCTGCACGTGAATTACCATTCAGGCACAAGTTCTTTCATTTGTTAATAGCACTGTTCCTGGCAACACATATAGCTGGTACTCTTGCTCTTAAGAGAAGCAATAGTATCCTTGCTCTTAAAATGATTATTAATAGAGGAATTTCGTTTCCTTTAGGTTGAAATTGCTATTTTAAACAGACAAAAACAGGGGTGCCTGGGTGGCTTAGTCGGTTAAGCGTCCGACTTTCGCTTAGGTCATGATCTCGCGGTTCGTGGATTCGAGCCCCACGTCGAGCTCTGTGCTGACTGCCAGCTCAGAGCCTGGAGCCTGTTTCAGTCTGTGACTCCCTCTCTCTCTCTGACCCTCCCCTGCTCATGCTGTCTCTCTCTCTGTCTCCTAGAAATAAATAAACAAAAAAACAAACAAACAAAAAAAACAGACAAAAACATAATCAAGTTCTTCTACTCAAACTGTAGGTATGCCAAGAGCAGATTCATATTCTACACAGTTTCATCTAAATTCAAAGCATACATAACGTCTGATGACAGCCACACACAGGAGATGACAGCTTTCACTGTGTCTGCCATTGTGCCCTTAGCAGTATGTGATTTTACTAGAGGCCTGATAAAAGAAGTTTGGCAACTGCATTATTCCACTCTTTGTGCCTGGTATTAGAAATTTCCTAGTATATCCTAAATGATATACCTTGTACCTGGTGCTACTGTGAAGGGTGCAGCTGTGAAAGCTGTTGCTGTGCTTTTTATCTCTTTTCTGCATTTCTAATGACACAATTCAACAAGTTTACTGACCAAGTCATTCTGGGATAACCTGCTTAATGTACTAATTTTAATGTACTTAATTTTCTTGAAAAATATTACAAATATTTGAATAGGAACATTCTATAAACAAGTTTCATGGTATCAAATGAACAGAGAACTCGGGACAGATCATTGCAGTATCATTTCAGTGGCCGTCATTGGTTTTTCCTCTACTTTCTTCTTTCACACCTTCAAAGGTATCACAAGGACTTACTTCTCCAAGGATATATACATGAATAATTTATATTGAAGCTACAATCAGTTCATTGTCCAACATTACTTGCATTCTCATTTTCATCGTTACTTTAATGTTTCAATGAACATTCCTAAGTCACTGATCCTTTTATATTAACTTAGGGAAATAAGAACACAACAGAAACAATTAGCAAATGATGTTAACTGTTAATAACAGAATATCAGTAAAGACAAGCCACCAAAACAGTCTTTGTGCTTCAGACTTAACCTTTAAGTCCATAATAATTCTTTAAAAAACAGTGACGTGGATAATTAAAGATAAAAATCTGAGGGTAAATTCCATTACAGGTCAGAACACACTAACACAGCATCATAGGATCGGATGTGATGATTTTTAAAATAGGAGTATGTAAAAAAACTAACATGGATTTTTAATTTTTGCAACATAATGCAATGAACTTAAGTCAAGAAAAATAATTAAAACAAAAAACATAGCTCTTACTATGTTTTAGGCACTATTCTGAGCACTTCACATGTAACTCTAAGATGAAAGGTTATTTCTCCTAAGACTCTTCCTTCACCTGAAACAAATTCTGACATAAAGACTAAATTCAATACTGGGCATGTATGTATGGGCATATGTAAATCTGATTGAAAAAGTAAGTTGCCACAACATTCTAAAGAACTATTAGAAAATACCAAAGTTCATTTAAAAATTTTTTTTAATTTTAGAGATAGAATGCAAGTGGGAGATAGGGTGGGGGAGGGAGGGGGGGAGAGAGAGAGAGAGAGAGAGAGAGAGAGAGAGAGAGAGAGAGAGAATCTTAACCAGGCTCCATGCTCAGGGCAGCGCCCAACTCAGGGCTCAATTCCAAGACTCTGGGATCATGGCCTGAGCTGAAATCAAGAGTCAGATGCTCAACCAACTGAGCCACCCAGGTGCCCCCCAAATTTTATTTTTATTCCAGTATAGTTAACACACAGTGTTGTATCAGTTTCAGATATATAATATGCAGTGATTCAAGAATTCTATATATTACCCAGTGCTCATCACAATATACTCTTCATCTTCTTCCCCTATCTCACCCATCCCCTCACCAACTTCCCCTCTGGTAACCTCTGTTGTCAAGAGTTGGGGTTTTTTGGTTTGTCTTTTCTTTTTCTTTTTTTTCCCCTTTTTTTTGTTTCTCAAATTTCATGAGTGATATCATATGGTATTTCTCTTTCTCTGATTGACTTATTTCACTATTTATTATGCTCTCTAACTCCACTCATGTTGTTGCAAATGGCAAGATTTCATTCCTTTTATGCCTAAGTAATATTCCACCGTACATATATATCACATCTTCTTTATCCATTCATCCATCAACGGATGTTTGAGCTACTTCCAAAATGTAGCTACTGTAAATAATGCTGAGGGTACCTGGGTGGCTCCAGTGGTTAAGCATCTGACCTCAGCTCAGGTCATGATCTTACAGTTCATGAGTTTGAGCCCTGTGTCAGGCTCTGTGCTGACAGCTCAGAGACTGGAGCATACTTCAGATTCTGTGTGTGTGTGTGGGTACCCCTCCCCAACTTGTGTTCTCTCTCTCTCTCTCTCTCCAATCCCTCAAAAATAAATATAAAAAAAAATAAAAGGTTGGAA